GTGGTTTTCATTGCTCAATATTTCGTGCATCATAGTAAAATGAAGCGTATTTACTGTTTTTGTGTTTTTTTTTTTGCTTAATTGATAAAATTAAAAATTCAGGAATTATTTGTTTGAAAATGTAATTACAATTTCATATAACTGATTTTTAACCGATTTTGCAATTGATATGTAGATTGACGTTGTTACAGAGTCTTTTTTGACGTAACGATAATCTAGAGCTCTTAAAGAAAGTGGTAATAACAAGAGGCCCATGGGCCACATCGCTCACCTGAGCACCAAGGGTAGGACTAGTATAAAATGGCTTTTTATTGTAAAGTTTAAATCCAAAAGTAGTCCCATGACGAATCATGGATTTGCTATTTTTTAGAAAATGATTGAGAAGAAGATTTTCAAAGAATTTTTCTATATATTTCTATGTAAAACTTTGGTCGGCCATTTTGGCCCCGCCCTACCCCCGGGGGTCATGATTTGAACAAACTTGAATCTACACTACCTGAACATGCTTCCATATAAATATGATGAATAATGGCTTTGTCATTCTTGAGAAGAAGATTTTTAAAGAATTTTCCTATATATCTCTATGTAAAACCTTGGTCGGCCATTTTGGCCCCGCCCTACCCCCGGGGGTCATGATTTGAACAAATTTGAATCTACACTACCTGAGCATGCTTCCATATAAATATGATGAATTATGGCTTTGTCATTCTTGAGAAGAAGATTTTTAAAGAATTTTCCTATATATTTCTATGTAAAACATTGGTCGGCCATTTTGGCCCCGCCCTACCCCCGGGGGTCATGATTTGAACAAACTTGAATCTACACTACCTGAGCATGCTTCCATATAAATATGATGAATTATGGCTTTGTCATTCTTGAGAAGAAGATTTTTAAAGAATTTTCCTATATATTTCTATGTAAAACTTTGGTCGGCCATTTTGGCCCCGCCCTACCCCCGGGGGTCATGATTTGAACAAACATGAATCTACACTACCTGAGCATGCTTCCATATAAATATGATAAATAATGGCTTTGTCATTCTTGAGAAGAAGATTTTTAAAGAATTTTCCTATATATTTCTATGTAAAACATTGGTCGGCCATTTTGGCCCCGCCCTACCCCCGGGGGTCATGATTTGAACAAACTTGAATCTACACTACCTGAGCATGCTTCCAAATAAATATGATGAATTATGGCTTTGTCATTCTTGAGATGAAGATTTTTAAAGAATTTTCCTATATATTTCTATGTAAAACTTTGGTCGGCCATTTTGGCCCCGCCCTACCCCCGGGGGGTCATGATTTGAACAAATTTGAATCTACACTACCTGAGCATGCTTCCATATAAATATGATGAATTATGGCTTTGTCATTCTTGAGAAGAAGATTTTTAAAGAATTTTCCTATATATTTCTATGTAAAACTTTGGTCGGCCATTTTGGCCCCGCCCTTATCCGGGGGGTCATGATTTGAACAAACTTGAATATACACTACATGAGCATGCTCCCATATAAATATGATGAATTATGGCTTTGTCATTCTTGAGAAGAAGATTTTTAAAGAATTTTCATATATATTTCTATGTAAAACTTTGGTCGGCCATGTTGGCCCCGCCCTACCCCCGGGGGTCATGATTTGAACAAACTTGAATCTACACTACCTGAGGATGTTTCCCCATAAGTTTCATCTTTCCTGGCACAGTGGTTCTTGAGAAGAAGATTTTTAAAATATACCACTAAATTTTCATTAATTCCCAATTATCTCCCCTTGAATAAGGGCGTGGCCCTTCATTTGAACAAACTTGAATCCCCTTCACGCAAGGATACTTTGTGGCAAGTTTGGTTGAAATTGGCCCAGCGGTTCTTGAGAAGAAGTCGAAAATGTGAAAAGTTTACAGACAGACAGACGGACAGACGGACAGACAGACGGACAGACGGACGCCGGACAAAATGTGATCAGAAAAGCTCACTTGAGCCTTCGGCTCAGGTGAGCTAAAAATGTTATTTAAGAAAAAGTAATAAATACACTATTAAGATTTAAAACATAGAGATTGGAGATTATTTCCATTATTTGTATTATGTTTTCATATAAATCCTTTGCACCTGTCATATTTTGTAGTACTCGACAAAAAAAAAAAAAAAAAAAAAAAAAAAACAGGAAAATTCGTTAATTTTTGGCATTTTGAGATGCCTCCTCTGGTAACAAGACGGTAGAATTTTGTGTTTCTTACATATAGTGTACAATATAGTATTAGTCATCAAATATTATAATTTGAACAAAAACTCTATTGTAGTATTTGTTTCATTTACTTTGAAATGCGAAACATTTTCCTTTAGATTCATAATTATACGTGAGGAATTAATTTCCGCGTTATTGCGCAAAAAATGTCACTCGCGAAATAATATAACTCTCGCGATTTGACGTTAAAGAGTCAATTCGCGATAAAAAGTACTCGCAAAAATAAGGAATCTACAGTATGTAATCCTATAGTAAATATACCTGCATTTTGAGACGGTACCTTAAAAATACCTGGACGGTAGATTTTCCCCAAACTTGGCATGTTCACTGTAGTTAATATAAGTTATATATGCCATAAAAATGAAGAGTTTCGCTATTGTAGTTTTCACATAATAAAACCCCACTGGACCCCCTTAAAAATCTTTTATCATTTTCTAAATGTAAAAGCTGTCTTTATTCAAGACCCTTTTGTTAATTATCTTAGTAATAATAAGGTAAAGCTGACCAAACACAAGTATGTTAAAAAAAATCATACCTTAATAAGGGCGATGAGTACTCTTGTTTTCTACAATATTGTTGCATTATATTTTATTGGAAAAAACTCCTTTTAAATTAATAATGGATATGACTACTCTTGATTACAATATTTTTGCATACATTTAAAAAAAACTACTTTTGATAATGGAAATGACTACTGCTGTTTTCTACAATATTGTTGCATATATTTAATAAAAAATCAAACGAATATGATTATAAGGAAGCTCTAATCACTGCACACTAAAGAGTTCTATTTATAGGGTAGTTTTATGCAGAAAGTGTGATCTGCCCTTAGAATTAAGATACAGTAGAGAAAATGGTTATTTATCGTTAATTACACGTTTTGTAATATATTAAAATAATCTTCGTGTTATATTAGAATAGGAATAAGTAAATGAAATCATTTTTTCCAGTTATTTTCCTTATGTAAGTAAACAACAGTGATTTCTGCTCACAAATAGTCTGTTGTCTTTGAACATTTTTCCTGATGAAATATGTCAGGTACCCTTTTATAAAAAATAACTAAATAGTCCAAGTTTGCACACCTTTGTGTGATACATGTATATATATATTTTTCTATACTTTTTAATCAGTGTTTAGAGCTTCCCTAAGTAAAGATATTAAACAAATCGTATGGTTATTATTAGCAAGGTTGTCTCTTTTGATTCTTTAAAATCAAGTTATCCTTCTTTTACCTCTCGTATTCTAAAGGGAATAAGGAAATACATTTTGTAAATGTTATCTATACTTATGGAAAGGAGGTAAAAATGTAGGTACATCACCCAAAATATTTTTTCATTCGTTAAACAATGCTCATAAATTGTAAACTTTAATTGTAAACTAAAGCCGTGGCAAGGACAATGACAATGACAATAACTTTAATCCCATAAATATTCTAACATACATTGTAGAAAGAAAAGAAGTAGGAAAAGATACAAAATTTGCATAGAAAAAGAATATAATACATGTACAATCGATGATTAAAAAGTATTTTAATTTAGTCTTCTCCAGCTTTAATGCACATCTGTGACCATGTTGAGAAATACATAATCTATTCGCAGTCAGGTTACCTGCTCCGTAGAGTTCTGTCTAAAGGTGAAAGATTTTTTTCTGATTCTTATATTTCTTTCCATGCAAGTTCATAATTTTTATAACAAGAATAGTTCATTTGTCAGAAATGGCCAGATCTCGGCAATTGAATGGGTAAATCGATGCACAATTAATTAATAATAGTTACTTCCTTTCTAGAAATATAACCTTATAACCGGGCCATAATTTTCACGAATTGTTGTTACTCCTCTATATAATCCTATCGAATACTTCCATACGGGAGAACTTTAAATTTGCAAGCTCATTGTCTCGCGTAATTATGCAAAAAATAAAATTCTCGCGAATAAAAAGTGATTTTCAGGATTCAAGCTCAAAAGTCTTTGTTAACAATACAGATCAGGAGCAGAGCCCATTTTAGTTGTGTCTGAAGACTATGAATCAATTACAAACGACATACATCTCAGTAAGTTTATTTTCAAAAAAGAAAAAGGCTTTTAAACAATCTAAATTGAAAAAAATTATAAATCATTAAAATTCGGTAAAAACATACATTTATTTTTATATTCATTCAACAGTTTTCAGAACAAACGACACACAATAATTCCGATCCATTCCTGTATGGTGGGCATGTCAAACTTCCACACCGAGTTTCCACTGGATAGAATAAATAGCCGTTGGCGTTTCCAGGTCCCCCTGGCAGAGTCTCAGGTTGAGCGTCCATACAGGTGAAGGTGGAGGCAGAAACGTGTTCGAATTTTCCTGACATCAGATATCCCCAGTATTCCACTTTCCATCCGGCATAACAAGATTTTCTGGCTTTGTTGTATAATAAAAAATTGAGAAGACATTCTACATTATTCAAAATGTTCATAATATTCATAAGTGTTCAATCTAATAGAATTGCAGAAAAACATTGCTTAACACAATTTGATTGATTGTTTGAATGTATGTTGTTTTGCGCTCCATTCGAGAATTTTTCACTATGTGTAGAGACGTCTTCATATACCAGTGAAGGGCTTAAGATTTTGACTTATACGTGGCACTCAGGTCCACTGAGTAGTGGGATCTTTACCTGCCGTTACACGGGTCCTCGGTTTTTAAGGTCTCATCCGTAGGACCCGCAACTTTCACTTCAAGTGCCAAACTCATGACGAAGGAACAATTGCTACCCATTTTTTATCGACTCAGGTCAGTCGCGGACGAAATTCGAACTTACATTTAGTTTAATAAACTGTTAGTGTCACACTTTGATGTAGTAGCGGCAAATATAAACAATATGAATTCCAAAACTTTCATAGAAACATTAGAAAGTATCGACAATTCTAGTTTTATGTCTTTCAGTTTGTCTTTGAACAGATCATTGATGTTAACTTTAAAAATCATATCTATACCTGGAATAACTAAGACGGGCTTGTCGTTTTGAGTGCTACAGACAGCACAGGGCACATCATGGTCGTGAATATCGGACATTACGATATCTTTGTAAGCTTCGTATTCAGCTCCATAGACCAGTCCTCTTGCGTTATCTTGCACTGTGTTATGGATCCCCCACTCTGGATTTGTCGGTAAACAGAGCGGTTCAACTGCCCCTCCTGGGTGCTTATAATGACTTCCTGCAGCATAACCTAAAACACATTCAAAGTAATCATTAATTCTATTTAAGGAATTAATTAAATATCTACCCAAATTATACACTGTTTAACCTGGGGTGGGGCAGATTACACTTTAAAATCTGCTGTCTTGGTTAACTATTAAATCATTCCCTTCCGTCTTAAAGTGTAGAAAATAAGATGGTTTCTTCCTCAAAATTCATTTAAATTGTACGCATTTTAAGTATAATGTCAGTGGTTTGATTCGTTTTTGACGTTCTATTGTGGCGTAGGCACAGGTAAACATGCAACATAAATATACATGATTTAATTATTTATGTCAATATGCAAAATAATTGTGTTGACATGCAAGATACCACAACATTATGTAGACATGCTTCCCCATTCTTTGACAATTTTCGAAAACAGCACATCATGGTTGCTTGGAAAACAGAACAGATCATGGTTGCTGACTTTGGGAAGTTCTTGCAAACCATAGTTGATAACTGATAGCTGAATAAATTAAAGGTGCTGTCTGTGGATATTTGTTACGAGCAGTGACTCTTTGGATACTTTGTACAATTTTGTCAATAGTAAACCTTACCTGAATAGATAAGGGTTGCTGTCGCGGGACACGTCGTGCGGCCCCATCGGGTGTAAACAGTTCCCCAAGGCGGAAAGCACTGTCCAGCTTGAAAAGTGACTACTACCACGATCAGGACAACAGAGAAAATGGTGACAGCCATTTTCAGACTATTTCGATCTCCTTTAAAAGAAGAGCTCCATATAAAAATATGCAAAAATGATCAAATTTTAAAACTAAAATGTATGATTGTTTTCTTTGCCAAATGAAAGATACTGTATCTAAAACAATAAGTTAAATCTGGTAGTTAATTAAGGGTTTATTTGTTGACCCTACAGCCTCCTTAAAGAAATATTGAATAAGGACAATAAAATATATTCATTTTTATATGTATTCAATATTTCAAACCATTCCCCATAAAGTAAAAAAAAATAACACTGAAGAAATTTTTTTAAAGTAAAAAAATTTAAAATATGTAGAGAAACACATTTCCTTTTTTTAAAATTTAATTTATATTATTTTAATTTACCTTAAATCGGTGCTCTTCGAAGTCGTAAAGGCCTGAGATGCATGGTCTTTTATATAAAAGACCCCTACCTTCTGGTACACCCCTAATTTCAGACGTGGCATATTGACAGGTGAAGAAAGAAACAAGCTTGGAGATTGAAATTTGAATATTTCTGATTATGAATCATTAATCAACATTTAATATTTTATGATTTTTCTGATATGGTCAACAATTCGTATAATTTCAAATGACCATAAAATTTACCAAATTACAATAATGAAAAATCAGCAGACCTTTTCGAAAAGATATTTAGGTAAAAGTTATACCAACGATCCATTAAGCAACAACAGGCCCAGAGGCCACATCGCTCACCTGAGCACATCGGCCAGGAAAAAGCTTAAATTAGATCAGAATTAAAAAGTTTACTGAAGGGATGGGGAGGGGGCTTGAATTCTAATACTACATGATATGAGAATCCATATCAGTTTTGCATATAACTTCTTGAGAATGATTTTTAAGATATATTGTTTGTATATATTACTTTGTAATAATTTGATTTTGACTACCATTGTTTCCCTCCTACCCAAAAGGGATCTCATGATTTGAACAAATTTAAATCTTCAATGCATGAAAATGCTTACATGTCAATATGACTTAACATAGCTCTTCTGTTATTGAGATTTTCCCCTTTATTTTCCTATGTAAATCTTTTATCCACCATGGAGATTTTCCCTCACTTGGATGTTATGATTTGAACAAATTGAATTCTACACTACCCGAGGATTTAGAACATTGTGGCCCCACCCTACCCCCTGAGGTCATGATTTGAACAATCTTTAATGTACACTATTTGAGGATGATTCAACATGAAAATCATCTTTCCTGTCCTAATGGCTCTTGAGAAAAAGGTTTTTTTAAAAAAGATTTCCCCTGTATATTCCAATGTAAAATTTTGATCGGCCATTGTGGCCCCACCCTACTCCCTGTGGCCATAATTTGATTCAATTTGAATGTATACTACCAGAGGATGATTCAACATGAAAATCATCTTTCCTGTCCCTATGGATCTTAAACAGAAGATTTTTAAAGATTTTTCCAATATATTCCTATGTAAAACTTTGATCGGCCATTGGGGCCCCAGCCTACTCCCTTGGGTCATGACTTGAACAAATTTGAATGTACATTACTAAGGATGATTCAACATAAGTTTTATATTTCCTGTCCCAGTGGTTATTGAGAAGATTTTAAAGATTTTCTCAATATATTCCTATGTAAAAATTCGATCGGCCATTGTGGCCCCACCCTACCCCCAGTGGTCATGATTTGAACAAACTTGAATCTACACTAACTGAGGATGATTCCATATGAGTTTCATCTTTCCTGGCCCAGTGAAGATTTTTAAAAGATGCCATTAATTTTTCACTAATTCATAATTATCTCCCCTTGAAAGTAGGCGTGGCCCTTCATTTGAACAAACTTGAACCCCCTTTACCCAAGGATACTTTGTACCAAGTGTGGTTGTATTTGGACCAGTGGTTCTTGAGAAGATGAAAATGTAACAAGTTAACAACAACGACATTGACAGACAACGGACAAATTTTGATCAGAAAAGCTCACTTGAGCCTTCGGCACAGGTCAGCTAAAAAAATATATGATTGCAAAACGAACGACTTTCTTTGCAAAATAATACTACGAACTTTAAAATGCACCACAAATTATTATAATCGCGCAACACACAGTGATGAATAAAAGTGCACGGAATCAAGATATATGGTCTTTCAACAAATTAAAAAAATTGAATAAAAGTGCATGTAGTCAGATATATGATTTTCCACCAAATTAACAAATTTTAATGAACGTGCGATAAAATTCGTTTGGTTGCTCTGCATAATTTCTCAAACAGATGTGTCAATTCGTAGCGAGACACCTTTCCAAAACAAGGACTACATGCCTGTTGTTATGCGTGTCGTAGGTACAATAAGTAGAAATGTTGAATATATAGTACTTAAGACTCCAGCCGTCCACTAACAATGTAAATCTATGTTCAAGTTAACCTTTTCGCGTACATGGTTCTACAGAGCTTGGCCCACGAAGGGTCAAAATAAGCCCTGTAAAATGGTCAAAATTAAACTGAAGTTTTGGCCAAATATTTTTTGCTTAAAAGATAGTCTAGGTATTGTAGTTTATCAAAGTGGAAAAAATCTTGGAGTTCCATATTTGTATACCAGAGATCTATAGCCCCAAAATCATAGAAAATCAGGAATTTGCTTGATTTATCACATTTTGGGGGCTAAATAGTCAAATTTTACATAGAGCACAGGCCTGCCCCAAATTTATTTAGGGTTCAGTTTAAAACTAACATCAAGAGGTTTCTATTCAGGAAAAAAATTTTGTGGGGCAGAAGTGTGCTCATACCTTAAAACGAACATTTCCACAAAAATCCGAATTTCCTCAGTTTTAACCCTTTTGCCCCCTTGTAAATTATTATGGTTATAGAATTTGTAAGAATATTACACTTTTTTCACCAAAAAGTATCATACTACGATTTTTTAGTTGTTCAGTACACTTTAGTAGGTGTATAGGTCCACAATTTTTTTTTTTTTGGGGGGGGAGGGGGGGGGGGCAGTTTACTGTAATTAGTTGATCCCACACTAGAGGTAAACAAATATTGTCGGACTTTTCTTTGAAGCCATGCGTATAAAACGTATGTATTATGTATCAGCAAAAGAAAAGAATACATTATATAAATGGTGCCTGTTTTGGAGGGTAACATATGAAATTGACACCCCAATGGTTTTCCGAGGGGTGTCAATTTCAAATGTTTGTAACCCTCAAAAACAGGCACCATTTATTTTATTATACTGAATGTCTTATTGATTTAGGATGTCAGCAAAAAAAAAAAAAAACGTCGATCGTCTTTACGTTCATGTATAGAAATCTTTCACACTCACCGGTTCACTAATCTCCTTATTGTTTGTTTGATACTCGAATTAGAGTCATTTATCATATAAAGTTTCGTTATTTCTGGCTCGCTAGCATGTTTCCTACACTAGCAAGCATGTATCGTCTGTCGTTTGTTGTTTTCAAGTAAGCTATATCGGACGCAAGCTTTTATTGACGTCAAGTTAATTCCAGTTCTTTCAAACGCGCAACTGACGTTTTGAGAATTCTACGGTGAACCGTACGCGCATAATTTCCACGCAGGTGGCATTACCGTTGTGTTACCCGTTGTCACGTGTGTTGCTAAGGCTCAGGGTAATCGAACGGATTGTTAACTGCGTCTAAACCAATCAGATTTTAGTATTTAACATGAAAGTATAATAATAAAAAATGCTAAATAAGAGCTACAGAACTTTTTAAAAAAAACATTAATTTTGAAGTTGTATACAAATACTGGGTGTATATTCAAAGTCATATTAGCTATTGACGTATTGTTATTGTTTGGCATTGCTCAGTAAAATGGACACGAAATACGTACGTGCATGTATAATTATAACACGTAAAATTCTACATCTTCATCCTTAATTAAAATCATGGCTTTTCCTTAAACCATGTGTGTATACAATGATATATCAGCCTATTCGAACTGCCATCAGGAAGATTTGGTCTACAGCAGTTGAGAAGTGAAAGTAAAGTTTTCACTAAATATCAGAAACAACATAAAACATTTAATGAAATAAATAAAGACACAGCAATTTTATTTATTTTTTAAATTAATACTCATACTGATTACATGTAGCTTTTGAGTAAATTCTTCAAGGAAAGCAAATCCTCTTTTTTTCAGGCATTATTAGAGCTATGAAGGTCCTAGGAAGAAATGTGGGGGTGGGGGTTGCAGCCACGAACCCACAAAAATTATATATAATTTCATTTTTCACTTAGGTTTGTTTTAAGGTGTGTGAAAAAACTCTCACAAGATTCGAACTCTATCCAAAGGTCAAGGTTGGGCATAATACTGAACCCATTTTTTCTCTTAATCTCAACATGTTAACCACTACGCTAAGAGGGCTTTTTGTCATCAATGTATGTTCGAGTGCTTTAGGTAAATCGTGTTGTTGAATTAAATATCTTTCCATAAATATTCGCTTTTTATATTGAATAGTTACTGACTCCAATTTTTTAAAACGTTAAATAGATTTTACATTAACTTTTCAATCTTTTAAACATTAATGTGGAATGGAGACTTGACCAGACCCATTTATATAAAAAAAACAAAACAATTTATAACCATTTTCCGGTAAATATGCGTAAATGTAAGTCAACGCAAGCTTAAAAAATATCAATTAAGTCATGCAATGAAATAGATGAATCAAACGTGTTAAAGATGACATAACTGACAACATAATTTTTGAAAAATAAAACTTTTCCGTGAATATTGGAAATTGAGAAATATAATGTCTCGGAGCGGGAGATTGTCCTCGCCTTTTACGTCCTCTTTCTTTTAAAAGGCATTTGAAGGTTGAATTAAAAGCTATAATTTCAGATTCAGTCTTTTTTTAATTTAATAGAAGTTAATGCTTTTGTCTTCCAATAAGATGTATAAACATGCTTAACTTTGGTTTCATCATGCCTTTTTTCCAAATATATACCTAGTATAGACATTTTAAATTGCTTCGTAGGTTTGGCCCCCCACTTTCCACAGGCAGGTCGCAGTATAGTTTAAAAATGAGGAAAGTGGTAGTGTTTGGTAAACCCCCCCCCCCCTTTAATTCGCTTCCGACGCCAATGCATTATAATTATATATTTGTATACTCACTAGTTTGCCACAATTGTCTTTATTAATAAAGGCCTCTTAACACAAAGAGAGACATATAGGAAAAGTAAAATTTTCGGCTTATTATAAGTTAATGATTTTTCTAGCTCATTATACTCAAAGGTGTGTTGTAATCTCAGTGATGTCTTTATCATAACAGTCCACAATAATGAATTTGTGGTGTATAGTAAAATTAATGTCCGGTAATGTCTGGCAACTTTTAGTGATCTTGTAATTTTTTTTACATTAATTTTGTTAATTTCTGAACAGCGTTACTTGGGA